TTTTTTTCCCAGCAGACCCGCCACCCCCCCCCCCCCCCTCCCCCCCCCCCCCCCCCCCATTTAAAAACTCTCAAAAGGATTTTCCTAAACTTACACTGATGGATGCCTTGCACCTGATGTCCGTCCAAACTGATCGTATTTCTGGTGAGCAGCGTGTATGATACAGTAACTTCGTATGATCTAAAAAACCAGTGAGAGCATACAGGAGGCAAAGACTGTGCATGTGCGCCACGTGTGGAGGCAGATGCCAAAGTGACCTGGTTTGGCTTTTGAGCATGTGCTTTTTTGGTTTGTTGTCTTCTCTCCATCTTCATTGCCTTGCCCCCCTTCGGGAGAACTTGGCTACCACAACAGCAGCAGATTGCAGGAAGCCCAAGCAACCATATGATGCCCTGCACTCTGTGACTGTAGATTATGTCAAATACAGAGGATGTCCTCAATTTGTAGGGATGATGATGTACAGATTAGTGTTCTTGAAAGGCATTTACTGTGTATTTGGGAAGGGAAAATGATGGCATGACCCACTGCAGATTAATATGATTAGCAGATCAAAACATGCAGGCTGAAGTTGGGTACCTGCTATCCATTGTATTTCAATGGGATTTGGCCACGTAACTCTCTGGGGCTGTTTCTTATCCTTCTTCCTATGATGCATGATGTCTGTGAGCCATTTGCTTCCTTTATCTCTGTTCATACAGTTATCTGTTGGTATCACGTCAGCAGCTAGTGCTCCCTCTACAAGATCAAGGTCTCTGCTGCACCCAGCAGAGTTGTAGACCTGGAGTTTTGCTTACGTTCATGGTCCTGTGGGCCACTTTGCAGTGTACGAGTTTCATAAAGTGTAAGTTACATTTATTCATGTTTATGAGTAGTGACATAGGAGCACAGAAACTGTCCTAAGTGACAGTCTAGCACTGAATCTTCAAGGTGGTGTCAAAATCATCCATTATGATGAAATTCCCATCTCTAAGTCTGCAAAAAATATACTTGAATTATTTTTGAGCTTGAAAAGTTTTCATGGCTGAGATTTTCACAGAAATTACTGGCCTTTTGCAGCAAAGTTGTAATTAAATTCTGGCAAGTTAGAATCTGGGTTTTTCAGGGGGTTGGGGGATTTAAACCTGTTCTGGAAAATTAAAACAAGAGCAAAAACCCAGGGACCATTTTTATTGTTGCTTTCCCTCCAGAAAAAAACACTGTGGTCTCCTCCCATCACCCGACTGTCATGGTTTAACCCCAGCCAGCAACTAAGCACCACACAGCTGCTCACTCACTTCACCCCCACCCAGTGGGATGGGGGAGAGAATTGGAAGGAAGAAGGTAAAACTTGTGGGTTGAGATAAGAACAGTTTAATAGGACAAAAAGGAAGAAACTAAATAACAATGATAATAATAACAATAATAAAATGCCAATGCTAATAAAAGGATTGAAATATACAAAACAAGTGATGCACAATGCAGTTGCTCACCACTCCCCATCCAATGCCCAGTTAGTTTGCAAGCAGCGATCCCCTGCCCCAGGCCAACTCCCCCCAGTTTATATACTGGGCATGATGTCATGTGGTATGGAATACCCCTTCGGCCAGTTTGGGTCAGCTGTCCTGGCTGTGTCCCCCTCCCAACTTGTGCCCCTCCAGCCTTCTGCTGGCTGGGCATGAGCAGCTGAAAAATCCTTAACTTAGTCTAAACACTACTTAGCAACAACTGAAACCATCAGTGTGTTATCAACATTCTTCTCATACTGACTCCAAAACATACCACTATACCAGCTACTAGAAAGAAAATTAACTCTATCCCAGCTGACACCAGGACATGGACCTTCAACAGTAAACTTCAAAGATAAGCAAAGCAGGAGAATCTGTTGGTGATGAGGTAATAACTCTGCTTCGATAGGATTAAGACACTGTTTTTCTAGAAATACTGGCCACTTTTCTCAGCTCTAGTTACTCACTGGAGCTGCACTACTTGTAAAAATAATTCTATAGTGGTACATGGCAGGTGTTACAAAGAAGATGGAGCTCTCTTTGAACTTTAAAGTAGTTTTGTCTCACTTTGGGAGTGCAAAGACAAATAATGTTGTAATGCCTGTGAGTGATACTGTGAAAAAGAAAGGGATTGATGCATGCCCACCTGCTTTATTGGACCAGATGCCAAAATTACTTCTTGGGCTGTTTGCTTTCAGGCACATTACAGGTAGCTCTATAGATGAGAAGCTCTATCTTTAAAAGAAAATAAAAAACCCCAAACAACTACACGGACTGAAAACCTAGCAAAGTGTTATGGAGATGTACATTTCCAGTGTGAGGGGGATTTACGTGATCAAGTCAGACAAGGCGTGTAAACTCATGGTGGGGCAGCTCCGGAGCAGCACGTGCATCTCTGTCTGTGGTGACCTTGTGCTGCATGGTGATGTGGGGGGACATAATGTCCTCTGATGCATGGGAGCAGTGAGCCTGCTGGCCTGCACACAGGGTGCAGCCCCTCACAGGGTCCTGCCTCTGCCAGAGGTGGCCAGCAAACTCCCAGAGGGGAAACTGGGGAGGAAAAGCTCAGGTGTTCATCTCTCCTGCCTCACCATGTGCAGCATTTCACGTCCCCTCTTTTTGGACATAGGTGGTTTGTGCACAGCAGCTGCAATGCAATTTGTTCTAGGTTTATGCCCTGAGCCTCGTCTCTCTGTTTACATGTCCCAGATTTAAGGATCTGTTGTGCATGCATGCTTTCACAATTACATAGCAATAAATAAACCTTTGCCGATACTGTAGTCGGCTGGGAACGAGATCCAAGGTGGTAATATAGACTCTCTGTGGCAGGTTTTTGGTAGCACGTGCAGATTGTTTTCTAGTTCCTGTGGGGATGCCAGCTGTAATAGATATGCTGCGTACCTGACACCGAGGAGTGCTGCGAGGGATGAGCGCTGGCCTGTCTTGCAGGTCTTCAGAGAGTGCAGTCGTCCTCTCTTCTCTCCCACTTCCCCCATTGCGTAGGACACTTGGCTTTAAAACTTTGCTGTGGCACTCCAGAGGCAGCTCTCTTCTCCGCAGCATGTCCTCTGGGCAACGCAGGCAGGGCTACCCTGTTTGGATGATGCCCTTATTCCTCTGGCTGTCCGTATTTCTGGCTCTGTTCCTTTACCATAGATCTAAGTTTGTGTAAGGTGGTGAAAAAGTAGCCTGGGTGGCCTCAGATATGGCTATGCCAGTAAACTAGAGCAGGCTGGAATATGGGCATAAGCTCAGCTGTGATGGTGTGCTCTGTAAGGTAGCTGGCATGCTTTTCACCTGGTTTTCCCCTATGCCAACAAGCATTTTCCTATCTAGTGCCAGGACGTGAGTCAAGGTAGGGGACAGAGGTGCTTCCCTCTGGGCAATACGGACCAGTTATCCTCCTTGGGGAGGATGAGAGCTTAGCTGCTTTCGCTCCCATTATTAACCCGTTATTAAATGCTGTGCCATTTGCCTGTTGGGGCAGAGATCAGGCCTTAGCATTTTCTGTTTAATAATACAGAAATAGCTTTCTGTTTCATAATACAGAAATACAGATTAAATGCTTCTTGCATGAAATTGAAGAGTTGATTCGCTAGGTGTCATTTCAAGTCTTGTGTTCCCCCTTCGGTTTCAGTCATTTGGAAGTTGTTCCTATGTGGAGTTTAGCAAGAATTAGCACTGGGATTCCAGATGACATGCAAGGGCACTTCAGTCGCAGAAAACAAGCTCCTTTCCCCTTTTCAAAACACTAGCATTTCAAAAATTACTCCTCTAGGGTTTAGATTTTCACAGAATGCAATCATAAAAAAGCCTTGCGCTATGCAACAGGGGGGGAAAAAGGAAGGCAAAAATATTTAAGTGTGGCTTAGCAATATCCAGAGAATTTAAAAAAAAACAAAAAAAGTAGTCTTTATGATGATGATAAAATGTTGGCAGCTTTGATAGCTTGTGAGAACTTTTGGATAAATACTTCATGATCTTTCTCTTAAATCCCAGAGAGCCCCATGAATTCTTCTTGCAAGAGCATTTTATTTTTTCAAAAAGTATGTACCAAAACAAACCTAAGATGAGTTGGGACACTGCACTGTGTTTCTGCTTGACAATCTCCAGACTCAACATTTTCTCTTTTCCTTTGCAGGCCGTATATATGTTCTATGCTTTGGCAATTGTCTGCGATGACTTCTTTGTCCCTTCGTTGGAAAAGATTTGTGAAGTAAGTATTAGACGATGTTACTTAAACTTGTGTGCTGCTTTAGCAGCAGTTCTCTTTGAGAGCCTCAGAACATGATGACAGTGTATTTACTATTGTCTTAGAATGTTCCCCGTGCTTCTTGTTTAGTTGCTCAACACTGCATGTGTGCGTTGGCTCAGCTTCATGTTCTCGCTCGCAGGAGATGGGCCGGGAGTCTGCTGGTGGGTAAACTTGGCTGACACTCCCTCTTAAAGCTAGCAGTCGCCTCTCAAATAACAATTCCTATCTATGCATCATAACACTTCTTAAAAATGGAGGCAATTTATAACATAGTGAAAAACACATTCTCTAGAGCAGTGATTCCCAAACTCAGCCTCACACTGCAGGCTCCCCAGCAGTGCTAGCTGCATTGTGGGTTTCCAGGTAATAAGCCCGGCAGAGCTTGCTAGCTTGTCCTGTGCTCTGCTGCTCACTGCTGATGTGCTCCTGCCTCTCTGGCTGAAGAAACCCTGCCCTTGAGGTAGGATCCAGCTGTTGGAGACTGAGAGAGGGTTGGGACGTTGTTTGTTGCCTGTGTAGGCCTTTTATTTCTTGACTTTTGCATGGGAATATTGATCCACGGGGTGTTTCTGAGTTTCATATATCATTAACTTAAAACTTAGAAACCTCCCAAGTGTCAGGCTGGGAAAGAAAAAACACCCGAGAGAGTTCAGATGTGTTGGTATTTTAAAACAAAACAAGACAAAGAACACCCAGGGGAGGGAGAGATGCCAGGCTCTCGGCCAGCTGACTGAGAGCTGGGTCCTGCCCTTGCGTGTGGTCGTGGGACCGGGGGGCTGTGCTTTCCTCCTGCTCCCGCTGTCCAGCTGGTGAGGACCTGCACGCTGCTGCTGCGTTCATGCTGGGGCTTACTGGCTCCCAGTGCAGCCACTGACACGGAGTGCTGCCTAGTCAGAGCAGGACTGCCCTGAGTAGACCCATGCCAGAGCTGGGTTTGGCTGCTTGGACTTCAGTTAGAAATGAAGTCTTGGTTTAGGATCAGGACGCTGTAGATGTGCAGCACACTTGCTTCCTGGGGCCTTTTGGCTTTCCTTGTGCAATGCCCACTGCAAGAGTTCACACGCTGATGGCTCTCCAGGTGCTCCGACTGTTCACACTGTGATAGTTGCTGTTGCCTCGTGTTTGTGTGTCTTTGCAGATGTCTCTTCAAAAACACTAGGCCTTATCCTTAGCTGATATAAATGAAAACCTCTGGTGATTCACCCCAGTAGAAATCATGGATCTTGTACCTTGCCTTCAAAGTCATGAGTTTCATACCTTGCATTGTGTTGGTATTAGTTGTAAAGCAGCAGGGACAGCTAAGTCAGCTGTAAATAAGCTCTTGAACACTTCCAGCAATTGCAAGGGACTCTGTCCCTCTTTTGCTAAGCTTGGCATGCTGAAATTTTGGAAGACAAGGAGTACATTTTAGCCTAAATCAACTCGGACAGCTACAGGGTGGACACAGACCATGCGCCTGAAGAGACTGGGAGCCCTCTCCAATGTCAGTCTTGGGCAATGAAATCTGTATGTAGAAAATATGGTTTGGTCTTGCCAGTTAGACATCTCTGTCAGCTGGAGGAGACGCCTGCCGATCTGCCTGGCAATAAGTGTTGCTCATTAGGGCGTGGGCTGTGCCTGGCCCTGGGAGAGGTGTGGGAGACAGCAAGAGAATTTGTGCTGATAGCTCTGATGGAAGTTGTCTCTAAACTAATCTGATATTTGTAGTTCAGCACCCTGCCATAAAAGGTTTTTTTGCATCATAAAAAAAAAAAAAAAGTCCCCAGGAAATCCCACCATTCTGGTGCATAAGTATTGAGATAACTGAAGGGCGACAACACAAGGCAGGAACTTAGGTCCTGCAAAATTGCTGCACTCTCTAGGGCTGAATCTAGGCAAAGCCACTGTGAGATTCAGGGGGAGGGAATGGAGAAGTTGATGTGGAAGTGAGGATGGGAGACGCTGGAGACGTAGACATGCTGAGTTATTTAACCTCCTCTCTCCCAAGCAAGGGAACCCTGCTGGGAAACGTGGGTCTAGAAGACCAGCTCAGGTCACTGTAGATGGATGAAACCTGAGCTGAGTAAGTAGTGTCTAGGACAGGCTTCTATTCTGGGGTGCTGTCAATATGCCTAAGGGCAGGCCTGCCACCCAGAGGGACACAGGTGGAGCCCATGAGATTGAGGGAGATTATTAGTTCTCTTGACTGAGCACTTGTTAAATCCCATCTATGAGTGTATTTTGATTAGTGGCCTTGCTTATGGCACAGAGGTCTGATCTGGGTCTGTGGAGTGCTAGCTGCTGTTACAGCTCTGCCATGGACTGTCTGACCTCAGACAAGCTCCATCGCTTCTCCACACCTCTGTTTCCTGCAGTGGTCAGTAGAAATGTTGTTCCTTGACTGTATTTACAAATCATGATAGGAAACACCATGCATGGTGTTAATGATTTCTAACTCAACTGGTGGTAAACTTAGTTATCGTAAATGAGAAGCTCACACACTGGAGAAGACCCTTTCCTTTTACTGTCATTAGCTTTCCATAGGTGTAGGATCTGTGCAGCACTCCACCTGCCCCAGAAGGCTGTTTATAGAGGTACAAGTGTCAGAATTATGGTGCCATTTGTTCTTCTGACAAATTCTCAGATGTGTTTGGGTTTGTACAGACATCTGATGTCTAAAAACCAAACAACCTCCCCATGTGACTTTAACATAGAAGGCTACTAGAAGGCTACTTTCACTTGACCAGATCTTCACTTTTTGGTTATTTGTTGCCTTCTCAATGGTATGTGAGAACTCGTCATGTGCATTAACGGTTCTGAACCATTGTGTTACCCAACACCACCAATAAAATAAGGTGTTAATAACAAGTTTTATTCAGTTATGTGTGAAAGGGAAAACTTAGCGATAGAACACTAGATTTAGCATACTTGTATTAAGAATTTACTGTCCAGAAGAAAGATACTGTGTTATTAGAGATTATCAAAATGAGTCATATAAATGGATCAGAATTTTACTATTTCTGTTGCTCCTACTTGATTCTCTCCCAAGAAAGGTTTTTCTTACCCAATAAGTGACCTTTGGGGGCATTCAAGTCCTTTTATTTATGTATTTTATGCATAATTAAACAGTTCTGTAATTACATGATAGCAAAAGAAATGTGCATTCCTGTTTCCTGATCCAACTACTTTTGATTTTATCAGTCCAGAATGGCTTGTCTTTAAAGCATCCAGCTTTTCGTGGTTTGTCCTTGATGTTAGCACTCAAGAATGCATGGGAAAAGGCTCAGGTCACTTCACAAAGGCCTCTGCAGCCTTTGGTATTATCCACTCTTGCCTGTTTCTCTAGGAAAGGGAAGGTTTTATTGTTGCCTGATGACAGCAGATTCTACCACCATTGCTCACGCCAACCAGTACTCTCCCCCCATAAAGAGCCTGTGAAATGAGTAGGCTGACTGGGAGAGCCAGGGCTGCTTCATGAGGGAGAAGACCACCTGAGTCCTCCTCCATCACCTGATAAGACCTGTGATGTTTTCAAGGGTGTTCACTTGTTTGCTAGCTCACAAAAAATAATCAAGAGAGAGGGAGGGGGAAGAGAGCGCCTTGCAGGAGCTCACATCGAAGAGGTTGTACTGGGTATGGCAGTACATGTAACGTGCTTAGCATGCAAACAACCGTAAATGGTAATGACTTGTTGCTGACCTAAGATCTACCATCAGTAATCTGACTACCACCTACTGTTGTTTCCAGCACAAAAGAATTCAGACCTCCTGCCTGAAGGCTTTTTTGGTCTTGGAGATCAACCAATAGTTATTTTACAGTTGCTCACAGTTTAGATGCACCAATTCTAAAATAAATGCCCTTTTTCTGGCTTAGCTTCATCTAGTTTGGAAAGCAGTTGTTGAGTTAAACCAACAAGGTACTTGCGCTCCCAAATGTGTGTGTTGAGATGAGAATTTGTTCCACGACACTTGCTATGGTAGACATTCACATTCTGTCTTAGTTCAGCCATACTTACAATAAAACCCTGATTTTCATTTGTTTTCTAAACCAGCTGGTACTTCCATTAGCCCAGCTCCTCTCTGTTATTGGCGTTAGAGAGTGTTTATATGACACAACTAATGTCATACATCAATTGCAAACATTTGTCAGCAAATACAGGAGAATACATTTTTGCCTCCTACATAGTGTGCTGTATTTTCTGCTCTATTGTATTAACTTAATCATGATATGCATTGCAGTAACTTATCTAGAAACTGTCCTCGAGGGAACCTACTATAGCTTTAAATTAAACCATCCCCACAGAAAGTCAGCACAGCTGGTTTACTGGGCTGATGGTCTTTTCTTTCAAAAGACACCATCAAGTTGCAGACTGTTGTAGAATGACTCTATTTCCATAGAGAATCCTGCAGAAGGAACTGGCCTTTGGGGATCTACTTCTGGTCCTATGAATTTCCTCTATAATGGTTTCAGTCCTACTTAAAATTGCTTTTCAGGAAGCTGTGTTTACTCAGGTTCTACAAGCTTTTACAGCAGTGCAGCAATGCCGTGGTCTCCCACTTAAGAAGCATTCCCAGTGAGGGCACATCTTTTCCTTTTTCCTTGTCCCCATAACATATGTACAAAATTTTTTGTTATATGTGCACAGTCAGTGGATAGAGTTACTTTCCCTTACAGGCCTAGAATATCCTTTGTGGCATCTTCAATCCAGATAAGGTTAGTGGGATGATTTCTGCAGTCTTGTCTCTGTGCAAATGTACTTTAGTAACGATAAAGTTGCAGAGAAACCCTGCACTGCTACAGAGGGAAGAGGGGGAGGAAGGCTTCCTCTGTCCTGCCAGGCTGGGTGTGCTGCTTCAAACAGCTGGTTCTGCTAGGGAAATGTCCCCACCATCCTCAGCTGTCTTCCCCTTGCTCGTACAATGGCAGCCGCTGACTCACACGCATGCAAGCAAGCCAGCTTTGTGTAGTAACAGCTCAGCAGTTTATGGCCGTATGGCAGGGGTTGGCTTTTTTTAGCTACTCATTAAACCGTGGAAGGTGCCAGCAAGGCATGTGGTCTTTAACAGCCTTGTCGCATTTGCTGAACAGCGACTTGTGCAGATGGAGCAGTGGGAATGCCGAAAACGTAAAGGAAGTAATTAACCAAGTAAATCTTTGGAAACGGCATGTGCCAATGAAGTTTTCATAGAGTAGCAGGTCCTTTCCCTTACAGAAACTGCCATTTTAGATAGTCCCTGGGCACTGCTAGGGGAAGGCTGTAGGAGGTAAGTATCTTTGATGGTGAGCCAAGTGAGAGGGGGTGAGGAGAGGTTACATGTCCAAGGCTGAAACAATACCAGAGAAGATGGCTGGGGGTGAATCAAGCCTGAGCTCCAGCCCTACCCTTTACAGGCCAAAGTAGATGAGGTAGCTGTGTATTATCAGGGTCATGGAGGAGACAGAGAGTCGTGACTGGTGAAACTGCCTCGCTGTTGTCCAGAGTACTGGTCTTTCTCTACGCTGTAAAGGGTATCACAGCCACAACCTGCCCTTTCGACAAGGAAATGCTAACTTAAGTAGCCAATGCCCGTGATGACTTTTTCTCCTATACTTAAACTTTATTAACATAAAACTTTATACATATCTGCAGTTTCCCACTCTTGGTGGACAGTTTAATGTTTCTAGTTGAATTCCTTTAGCCTCTCAGTGTTGTAATCAATGACTCTGATGTGTTTTTCTGCAGCGCTTGCATCTTAGCGAAGATGTGGCTGGGGCAACTTTCATGGCAGCGGGAAGCTCTGCTCCTGAGTTGTTTACATCTGTCATAGGTAACTAACCTGCTGCTGCTTCTTGAAACTTCCACATTTCCCTGGCTGTTTTTCGGAGTTGAAATGGGATTGCTAAGTGCCTGTAACACTCGTTATAATACCTGGCCCTTCCCTCACGGGCGCACACAGCACTAATTGTGGGGAATCCTCGCTAGATGAAATGGCTCTGGAAAAGTGCCTTTATCCCACAGCAGGGCTGCCTTGGAAGTGGTTTGATCTCACCCCGTCAAACCAGGGCCAGTAGGCAGTTCACCTTAACTGTCCATTAATCTACCTTGCTGTAGCACAGCCAAACTGCACAGCGCTGAGCTCTGCATGTGCAGCCTTCTCCTCTCCTGTCCACCCTCCTACGCTATCTGCCACGCCGTCTCCAGGATGTAGCGTGAAATGATGCACCTCCGGCCTCCTGGTTTGGTACCCAGATGAACTCTTTGTGTCCTCAGCTGCAGGTTCTCTACTATCACCTCCACTCTGATTAGTCTTCTAACACCACTTCCCTCTGGGAAAGCCAGAGTGAGGAGAAGAGGGTTTGAAATGCTTTATCACAGCAACAAGTTGGTCAGAGCATCACGCTACCAAAGCAGCTGTCTGCTTATGGGAAGTGTGATGAAGGGATCAGCAGTCCTTAAGCGTGTGAAACCCGGGAAACTCATGTAGTCCTTCAACAGCCTTGAGCTAAGAGGGGACTGCAGTCAGCTGTTATAAAATGATGCTGTACGTATGCTACCTGACGCAAGAGGAAAGTGTTCTTGCAGTTTTACTCATCCACATCTCTATTGGTAGGTGATCATCAGAGCAGTGCTTGGGAGGTTAAGGTGGGCTCTCCATCACTGAGGAGAATTATTCTCAGCTTAGATACTTTCTCTAGAAGATACTTCTATTTCAGTCACAGCTATCAGATGCAGAGCGCAAATTAATTCACGCAAAGCTGCATACTCTGCAGAGAGGTCTGATTATGCAAGCAAAGCCTTAAAATGTAGGAACTTAAATTGGACCAAGCCGGGGTTGTATTCCAGTTAAGGATAGTGCAGTAGCAGGGTGAAAATAGAACCAGATTCCTTCAGGCAGCTTAGAGAAGCCCTAACGGTCAGATCATTATCTTGCTGTGATATAATCCACCAGATACTAAGTGTCACTTGGCAGGTGACTGCTTCTGTGCAACATGTTTCTGAGAAAAGGATAAAGTGGAAAAAAAATACCTGAACTACACTGGCTGGATAAGTACTGTTGGAGCCTTAAAAGCAAGTGGTGAATTTAAACAGACTGACAGCTAGCAGGAGATAGAGTGTTATTTTTAGGCTCACTTCCTAAGGAAAGAATTTTGTGCAGTACCATGATGCATGTGTCTGTCAGTTCGTCTCCCTCACCATTAACCTCATTGACCAATTTTAACCAAATTTGACAGAAGAGCTCTGAAAGGAGCTTGTAACATAGCCCCATAACTCATCCTGAGAGGCATCATTCAGCGTGCAAGTAGCTAGTGGCCAGGCAGCTCTGACTCAGCTCCAGCTCAAGCTTCTACTTGCCTGTTGAAGCTGGTAGGGATGGAGATATGCAGAAGAGCAGAGTACCAGTGAGGGGTTGTGTTATGGGAGATAGTTTCCTGCAGATTTGTGTCCTACCAACTGCTCCCATGGAGCTTACTGTCTTTTATGATGTGTATTGCCATAATGTTGGATCGCAAGACCAGGAGGTTGGTGACTTAGACATGTCTAAGGTATTTGATTTTCATTAGACAATCTATCTATCTATTCATTAGACAAGTTCTGCCACCTTTATTCACCCCAGTACCTTTCTCTGCAAGTTGCCCTATTAAATATGAGAAAAAGTGGCAGAACGAGTACATGTCTTTAGATTCATTAATGGGGCGTGAGGTCTGCAATTTTTTGTGGAAAAATTCTGCTCTTTCCAATTTACACAGCTTGCCTTGAACTTGTTTTTCAGGTGTGTTTATCACAAAAGGAGACGTAGGCGTTGGAACCATCGTAGGCTCGGCTGTATTTAACATTCTCTGTATTATTGGCGTGTGTGGGCTTTTTGCAGGACAGGTAAGAGCATTTAATGATTCCTAACAGTTCTTGCTTCATCCTGTGCCTTGGCTGTACCGTGAAATCAGCTGCCAGGTTCACAACCTTGCCACAGATTTCTCTGGCTTTGTTCTTTTTAATAGGGCCCTGTGCTATTCCTCTTGCATTTTTGAAATGAAAAGCAGAACAGCAAATGTCAACTCAAGCTGTCCAAGATACGTGTGTGGTCAAGAGAATACAAGTTAGTTATTTAACACCTCCTCTTGGTATCTATTGAAGAATGCGTTGTGACGTTTGTATCTGGTTCTTTAGACCAGAGGAGCCAGGATGTCTGTGCCTCTGGCTGGTAAAAATGCACATCGGTGAGCCAGGCAAGATGCCTCTGAAAGAACAGTGACACTTCTGGAGCATCACAGAAGATGCTGCCTTTGTGCAAGGTGGTTTCAGATACATGTGCTGAGCTGGCACAACGTTGTTGGTGACTGGCATGACTTATGAAGTTGTATGAGAAAGATACAGTCTTTGTATTTTATCTCATTATTTATATCCAGAATCACAGAATGGTTTATGTGGGAAGGGACCTCTGGAGGTCTCTGATCCAAAGCCCTCACCGCCCTGACCCCCTCAACTCAAAGCAGGGCTGATTTCGAAGTTGGATCAGGGCCTTGTCCAGCCAGGTTTTGAATACTTCCAAGGATGCCCCAAGTTTTTTCCTCACTAGCAATAAGGCTGTCCTTTCCTAGTATGATTTCTGACTGTTTTCCAGCATGTCAGACTGCTTATGACAACACAAGCTATTCATCTGAAATTAAAGTAATTAAGTTGTGAGATCTGAGCTGCTGTCTGAATTGCAGACATGATCGACTGTATAATTAAATATCTGAATCTGCATTCACCTTAACACTTGCCAACATGCCCAGTATTTTTACAGTCTCACAAAATGTTCTTTGAAATGTTACTGTGCAGACTTATTTGTGAAGAGGAGAAGCAGGATAACATCAATAGGGCAATAGGATAACTAGCTCCAGAAGAAGAACGTAAGAGAAGGGGCCTGTATAACTTGGTCAGCATGAGAAAGCATGCAGAGAGATTGGGCTTTCCTGGGAAAGTCTGTAATCCAATCTTATTTGCGTTAGGAGTGAACCTTTTCAGGATGAAGATGAACATTTTCACTATGGGGAAGCTTCAGGAAAAGCCCACAGTGGTAATTTTAGCCATGTAAGCTCCCTTGATTTGCATGGGAACATGCAGCTGGAAGCTACACATGCTCAACATGTTAGTGGTTCTACTGTAACTCTTACTATGAAAGCCCAACTGATTCAGGCTGATTTGTAATGACCAAAGCTTTCCCAGGGCATGCAGCTGTGTTCCCCGTAGGTGTTCTCCTGTAATCAGTAGCACTTTTTGCTCAGGTTGCTTTTTCAGCAAATTAAGACAATTAACTGGTTAGCACAGTGGCAAAGGAGCTAATTCTTCTGATTTTTACTCTCCATGGTATTGATTGCATGCATCAAACCTGCTAAAAAAATTAGGTACAAATCACAGCTTTCAGTGGAGAAGGCTTGCTACAGTTTGGGGGTTGACGGAGAATGTCAGTCTTCTCGAGAGACCATTTACAAGTAGGAGGTGTTTGTTTCTGAAGGCTGTAACACAGCTGAAATGCTCTTGCAAATGCCTTCAGCCTTCTGGGTGTGGTAGCTTTCAGCAGTTCAAAGGGGAGATTGTCTGCTGTAAGTCATCCTAAGCGTGGTCTGCGAGTCTCTTTCAAGCCAAGAATTGAGATTTTTACTGATTTGTCCCAACTTTGTTTTCCCTGACTGTGCTAGTGATTTGCATTGTGGTTTCATCAAGTCACTTAACCTCTGTTTGCTGCAGTTAACCTACAGAGGCTGGGTGAGAATTGGAATGATTGACATCACTGCGTGGAATCATGATTTAAATGAGCAAATAAGAAACCTCAATTTAAATAATTCCAACATTCTAGATAAAACTCTGCTTTGATTTGTGCTTTTCATTTTTTCTCACTCCCAGCCCTTCACCAAAAAGTCATTCACTTTTACTGGTGTGATTCATCTTTTTGTTTTGTGCTTCTATTAATAGGAATTTGGTTTTATTAGCAATAAAGTCTCTATAGATGCACTAACATAGGTGCTAAATTTGGTTGGCGATTGGATTTTAATTCTGCTGGGGACCTGGATCTCAGATTTGAGTTGCCTTGTAATGGGCTGGGTGAGCCTGGAGGCAGGCTGTTGGTCTAAGCTGCTTGCTGTGCTCCAGCTCAGTTAGAGCAGGATTTTCCTCTTCTGAGCTCAGACCTGCGGAGTCAGCAGCTGGAGTCCTCTGATTTTCAGATGAGACCAGTGAGTCAATGGGCAGGGATTTACAAGCCTAACTTTGTTGTCTTGTGAGCCTCCCCTGAGGCTGCTCAGGACACAGACCTGTTTTCTGGGACTCCAGCCCTGGAAAGCGATGTTCAGGCATCTCGGTTCGAGGCTGGAAGGCTTTTGGGTTTGTCAGGTGGCAGGAGAGAAGCAGATTATTAAGCCCACACCTGTGGCAGTTTCAACCTGGTGATGCTCATGTGGCCTTCATGTTCATCAAAACACATCATTAAACGCTCTGGTGTTGGGAAGTGGCTGCTGCAAGTTGCCAGGGTGGACAAGAAGGATTGGTGCTCTGTTCCCCTCTGTCTTACATGTGGGATGCCTCTGGCAGGGGAGGGACAATTTCAAGACGATCACACCGCTGATTTCCACAAGGGGAATTGTGGAGGGGGCAGACGTAACCTCACTATTGCTTTCCTGCAGCACCTGCCAGCAGTAGCAGCAGTGTTCCAGTGGGAGCTTTTATGTGTTGATGAGGGTGATTTGCAGCTGCAGTTGTGGTAGGTAGCAAGTTGGGATCCCTCTAGCTGGTCAGTACCTGGCAGCACAAGCTGCTGTTCGGATGCTGTGTTGCTTGGAGATACCGGCAGGAGGTGGACGGAGAGCAGCACGGGCAGCAGTGCTCAGTAAGCCGTAACTCTGTGGCAGGGCTGCTTCGTCCTCTCCTGGGGTGCTCAGCTCAGAGCTGGGGGAGGAAATGTCTCTATGCTGGAGACTGTGGGGCAGCTGCCAGGTGGCAGAGTGCTTGGGAGTGCTGTATTGCCTGCGGGTTGGGAAACCCAGAACTAAAACCTGCAGGGGAGTTCTGCAGCATTTCCATAAGCCCTCTTTATTTTTCCAGAACTGTTTGGTATCATAAGAAAGCCTTTTTTTGTTTGGTTTTTTTTTTTGACTGGTAAAAGGTTGAATTAAAAAATACTGGCCAGCTCTCTCCAGGATATGTTTTATTTTTAAATTAGGTTGTAGTATGTATGTGCTATGTTGGATGTGTTATTCTTTGGCTTAAGAAAATACTGGGTTTGGCTATGTGCACCTTGTTTAAAAAAAGAAGCAAATCCACAGCCCCAAGAAGCTAGTATGCATTGACTTGAACACCAACTCTACTTGATTATTTTTCTAAGCCTTTAATAGTTCGTAAGTGCACACTTCTCAGAATAAATCAGAATAGACATCCCACTGCTGGAACTGGAGAAGGAAAGTATGATGCCCGCACCTCTGTATGACACTACACACCTAAAAACTGCGCTAAAAGAGCATTGTTAGGGTTGAAAGTCAAACACTGAAAAGTTAGAAAATAGCAGTGCTAAGCTTCCTTGTGCAACCTTAATTTGCCCCCCTGGTGTGTATGCATTATTATACAGTCTTTAATTACAGGATCCCATGCTGGTTTCTCCACAGGGTCCCTGCCTCCTGCTCACTTAATGAGCAGCTATTCATTATTTTGTTTTCTCTTCATTGTTCAGTGTGTGCCCTTCTGCCTTATTTACCAGGCTCTATTCAAGTCCTGTTCCAGAGGCAGAATTATTAATTTCCTCTTGAACTTCTGCCGATCTCATTGCTATTGTATCTGAGCAGCTGATGAACAAATAATTAATTTTCTCCAAACCTCTGTGAGATGAAGGGATGTTTTAAAGATGGGGAAATGAAGCACAGAGAGATTAAATACAAAAGAATAACTTGTCATTTTAGGTGCCAATTAGAGCTGGCATGGGCCTGTTTTTCCCCTGAATGTATAGCAACCTGTGTCATGTTCTGTGTTCAGAGGGCAGCTCCTTCTGGCTCCAGATGCTGCTCCCACTGCTCCTGCTGCTCCACCTCAGCATTACACAAGGGTTTCCTTGCTGGGCTGACCTTGGTTTAAGTGGCCATCTCAATGTCCATACAGCGCAGCTCTCCCTGGGAGCATTCAGCTGCTTTAGCCGTGAGCCCCTTTTCTTCTCCTAGGCCCCAGCTCAGAAGGTTCCACCTTCTGCAAGGGGACACACAAAACACCTCGGTCATCACGAGCCCTGGCTTCATCCCTAGGACTGTTCTTGACCTGAATTAAGCAAGTGACTTAACTGCTTCACCTCCTAACATTTAGTGCTTGCTTTTGCTAGCATGATGATGTTCCTTCTAAGCACCCAGATGCTCCAGGTTTCTTTCCATTCGATCTGTCTCTCCCCCTCACCCCATATTTCAAAAGCTTTCTCCAGACGGATTTTCCCCCCAGATCACGGATCCACCCCATAGCTTCCTCTCAAGCATTCAACTTTCCCCCAGTCCCACAGTGGTCTAGATCCCTTCTCCTCTCCCTGCTCCTGTGCTCTCTGGTGTCTCGACCTGATGACTCCTGGCTAACTTTATCCATGCCAGGGAGGCACCTTTGGAGGTACAGGAGCCTGCTCTAGAGCCAGGGCAATTGCATTTTCCACTGTTTTCATCTCCTCCGCCAGCTGCAGACTTGGTGTACCCCACAGGCAGTTCATGCTGGACTGCTTTTGACGCATCTGCCCTTACTCTGCCCACAGCTGGAGGACCCCACCACCCCTGCTTTGTAATCCCAGCAGAGATGCAGCCACAGCGAGAGGCTTCCTTCTGGACACATCTCTGGAGTCATTAAAAGGCCTGTAGCACAGCTCCCTTAGCCAGCACGGC